TGTTTATGTCATGTTGTAATATGTGAAATTTGTAATTCAGGACAGTTTATGCCATAATAAGTCTGTAGACCTTTAAGAGAGCATAAAACTCTTCAGTGTATTAGAGCATTGGTTCATAACAGTGACATTAAGATGATTAACTGTCAGGTAATGTTTTTTCCTACATAGACTATCTAGGCCTTCAGATATTTAGAGCAGACTGGTGCATTGGTTTGTGAGGAACGTATTAGATTATAGCAGTAGTAGGACTGCAACCCCTGATACCAGAAGAAGCTCAAGAAGACAGACAAATGACTGCAAATAGTTTGGGAGGTATCCGACTTAAAGTCATTTGTATTATACAGTACATTTGGGGTATATAGGGATGATCTAATAACCTCTTCAGAGTTTCCATTCACTTTGAGAGAGAGAAATGATTGTATGCTATATTTATGTGCCCTATTTAGAAGACAGTCCTGACCTAAAAAGAGCTGTACAGTATTTAAAATGGGTGGAGTAAAATATATGTGGGTTCCAGTAGGTGTCCAAATGCAATGAAAACTCTGAGATGAAGCCTAAGGCTTGCAAACAGTGGTGTAAATGGGTTATATATAGAGGACTGAGCATTTTTGAGAATGGATCCTTCAGCTCCTTGGTTCTCAGCCACTCAAATGGCTGAGAGTTAACTCAGGTATAGACAATCTAGGGACTACACATGCTTTGAACTACCACAGTCCCTTGGCATTGACTGTGTTGGCTAGGGCTGATGAGAGCTTACATTCAGAACATTTTGAGGATATGAAGTTGCCAACCTTTGGTTCAGCTCTATTAGTATCTAGGAATGTTGAGTCTCTAAATTGGATTGAATTTGGGGAAATGAGGGAAGCATGTGATGCTAAGCAAGTCAGTGTATCCCTTAGCATTAGCTATGTTGATTAGGGCTGCTGAAAGCTGTAGTTCAGTAATAGTTGGTAGGCTGTAGTTTTCCCCACTGGTTGTGTACCAGTTCTAAACTATAGATAAAACTCTTGGGTCAATAGTAATTAATAGAATTTCAAAGGCTATGGAACTAAAACATTTTACTCTGGCATAATACATCTTGGACAGAGCTGTGCTTTAATAATACTTACTTGATGGTCTTTAGAGGGAGGAATCTAGGTGGTGTAAGTTCTTGGTATCTGCCAAGGGTGTCATTCTTTTGGAAAAAGGCTC